GACATGATCCAAAAGCAGCAGTGCCATTACAAAGCATACATAGGGTGGACTAAGGCACTTTGCCTCAGGCAATGTAAAGTGCATGCTTTTCATTGCTTGTCTGTGAGGGGGAGCGAGGGCGGAGCGAGGGTGGAGTGAATGGTGGAATGAAGGGTGAAGAAGGTTGCCGAAAATTGATACAAAAACGATGCATATTTATTACGTTCTTTGCTTGATCCACTTCTTGGGCTTCTTCCCTTGCCTTTTCACTTCTCCGCAACTTTTTCTCTTCTCTCCCCCTCTCGACCCTTCCACATTTCCATCTCTGCCTCTGCTCAACACCTTCATTCCTGTTCTGAAGATAAGGTGCCAGCGGACAAAGGGGTGAAGAGGAGTGAGCAGGCATGGAAAGCGGAGAGGGTTAAATGAAGTTGGGGTGATGGGCAGGGTCACAATGAAGGGTTGGTCGGTGGGGTGTAATGAAAGGCAGATGGGTGGAGAGAAAGAAAATACGATACATACATAAACAATTCATCCCGACTGCTCTTCTATCTATTTAGCAATTTCTCTCAAAACCATTTGAATTTCAGTTGAAATTGTTTTTTCCAGCTCCACTTAAAATTTGCTTTCAAGCATCAAAATAAAATTGTCTTCTAGTTTCTTTAAAACTGTTTTTCACTGTTCGTTGGAATAATTCTCTTTAGACATGATCCAAAATTGGCGGCCGCATTTTAAAAGGCAGAGGGTGGTCCCATGCAGTTTGCTTTGCAGACAATGTAACGTGGATTGTTTTTACAATCCAATTATGAGGATTTTGGTGCTGGTTTCTTGTCGGGATTACCACACTAAAGTGTCTGCTTTCATTGCTTTTCTTTATGTGCCAATGCTTGTCCCATTGATACCTGTCCACCTGTGCTTTTCCTCTCTTTCTTTGCGCTTTGCCTCGCCACTTTTCCACGGCTTCTTGCCTTCCCCTATCTCCACCTACAGAGAGGAAAGAAGCTGAAAATGAGGTGAAAAGGCCTAAAAATGGGTAGGCGGTAAAGTGTGAATGGAAAATAATGGAAAGGGGGGCGGATGCGAGTGGAGGGGTTAGGTGATTGGTAGTAAGGGTGATGCCATGGTCCGGCCAGGATGGAGTGAGGGTGAAGCGAGGGTGAAGCAAAGATCGAGCAAGGGCAGCAATAGCTCAATGAAGGGTGGAGAAGGTTGCACAAACTTGATACCAAAATATACCAAAAACGATAAAAACGATGCATATTTATTACGTTTATTCACATTGTTTGCGTTCTCCACTGTTTTCAGTTCGCTACCCCTTGCCTTTTTCACTTCTCCACGGCTTTCTCTTCTCTCCCTCCGTTCCTGTTCCAAGAGAATGTTAGGGGCTGAAAGGGTGGAGAGGAGTGAAAATAGATGGAAAAACGGCGAGAGTTAAGTGAAATTGGGGGCGGTTATATAATGAAGGGTCGAGCAGAGGGGTGAGGTATGGTGAGGTGAAAGGAAAGGAACATCTTCTTGCAAGTGCTTGTCAAACTTTTATCATTGTTCTGAGTTTCTCTTGAAATTGCCTTTCGAATATCTAGCCTAAAGATCCGATATCCTCATTCATAGCTTTCCTTCAAGTGTGCTGTCATATATTCACTCTGGCGGTACCCTTATCTAGCCTTTGTACATGTCCTTTCGAAAGTAATTTAGATTCCAATTGAAATTGTTTTTCCGGTTCCTTCTGAAATTTGCTTGCAAAGATCAGTTTCCTTCTAGTTTCTCTTTGAAGGTATTTCCAATGTTCGTTGGAATGATTCTCTTTAGACATGATCCAAAAACGGCGGTGCCATTAATCCTTTCCCCCTATTACTATACCCCTCAAATAGTAAAAACTAGGGTCCATCTCTAATTCTGGAAAATTTCAGGTTGGCCAATTTGACTTTTAATTGATCCCCTTTAGAAAATACGTTAAAAATAAAGCTACCATTTGTGGGTTTCGCACCCTAATAACTAAAACTAGTCAACCCCGGGGTGTTTATTATTAGGGTCCGTCCGATTTTTTTTAGTTTTTTAAATTAGGGCTTTTAATTTATTATTAGGGTCCGCTTTGAAAACAAATTTTTGGCAATATGTTAATTGCGTTGTATAAGGAAATTTAGTTGATATTGAAATTGGAAAAGAATAGTTTTTATTATTAAGGTTTTAAATTTATTAATAGGGTCCGCTTCTAAATCCAATTTTTGGCAATATTTTAATTGCGTTATAAAAGGAAATTTAATCGATATTGCTATCGGAAAAAATAGTTTTTATTATTAAGGTTTTAAATTTATTAATAGGGTCCCCTAATAATAAATATCCCCCTACCAATAAAAACTACCTGAGGTGTTTATAATTTGGGAGGGGGGGTTTAGTATTAGGGGGAAGGTATTATAAAGCATAGGGCGGGCCAAGGCATTTTGTCTCGCATGCAATGTGAAGTGTATGCTTTTCATTTCTTTCCTGCAGGTGCCAATGTCTGCCCCACCTCTTGGGATTTTCTACGCCTTGCCTCGCCGCTTCTCCACAGCTTCTTGCTTTCCCCTCTCTCCACCTACAAAGGAGAAAGACGCGGAAAGGGAGTGAAGTAGGTGAAAAGGTGTGGGTGGAAGAGTAGGTGGAAGGCGGATATGGTTGGAGAGGTTGGGTGAAGGTGATGCTAGGGTGATGCGAGGGTGGAGCGAGGCTGGAGCGAGGGTGGAGCGATGGTGGAATGAAGGGTGGAGTGTGGAGAATGTGGCCAAAAATTGATACCAAATAAAAGGATACATTTATTGTATTTATTCACATCCTTTGCGTGATCCACTGCTTGGGATTCTCTCCTTCCCTTTTCTCTTCTCCGCAGCTTTTACTCTTCTCTCCCCCTCTCCACCCTTCTACAGTTCCATCTCCGCTCAATACCCTCATACCTCGTCTGAAAAGAATGTTAGGGGCAGAAAGTGTGGAGAGGAGTGAGCAGGGATGGAAAGCGGAGAGAGTTAAATGAAGTTGGGGTGATGGGCGGGTCACGATGAAGAGTTGGGTGTAGCGAAACGCAGATGGATGGAGAAAAAGAAAATGTACTTTGAATTGATGCAAGTAATTCATCCTGACTGCGGTCTTATCTATCTAGCCGTTTCTTTTCAAAACTACTTTGAAGTTCAGTTGAGATGGTCGAACAAAGGGAAAAGTCTGTCTACTTTCTGTGGGAAATTCTCTTTAGACATGATCCAAAAGCAGCAGTGCCATTACAAAGCATACATAGGGTGGACTAAGGCACTTTGCCTCAGGCAATGTAAAGTGCATGCTTTTCATTGCTTGTCTGTGAGGGGGAGCGAGGGCGGAGCGAGGGTGGAGTGAATGGTGGAATGAAGGGTGAAGAAGGTTGCCGAAAATTGATACAAAAACGATGCATATTTATTACGTTCTTTGCTTGATCCACTTCTTGGGCTTCTTCCCTTGCCTTTTCACTTCTCCGCAACTTTTTCTCTTCTCTCCCCCTCTCCACCCTTGTACAGTTCCATCTCCGCTCAATACCCTCATACCTCGTCTGAAAAGAATGTTAGGGGCAGAAAGTGTGGAGAGGAGTGAGCAGGGATGGAAAGCGGAGAGAGTTAAATGAAGTTGGGGTGATGGGCGGGTCACAATAAATAAAATAAATAAAATAAATATTTTTTTTCTCAAAAAAAATATTTTCTCAGCCAAATCTTCTCCACGCAGACCTCTAAAATAAAATAAATAAAATAAATAAAATAAATATCATAAATATTTATTTTTTTATTTTATTTACTTTCTCAGAAGCTGCAGAATTTAATAAATAAAATAAATACATTAAGACTTATCCATTTGTAACTGACACCTTTCCATTATGGAAGTGGATCCTTGACACCATGGTGGTTTATGACTGATATCATTAAAAATAAGGGTTATGCAAACTGATCATCATTCAAACAATCAATAACCCGACATGATGGTGATTACCTCTTAGGGTTATCCATAATTCAAGGTGGTGGTTTGTGCCAATGAACCGCAAACCAAAGCACATGTGGAAGTTTGGATGCCAAAGCTTGGAAAGCAAATTGTTAGGAACCCACAGAGCTACCACGTAGCCATCATTTGATGGGCTATACTGGCAAAGCCTACAATGTAAGCTACCACGCACTTTTCCCCAGAGACGCGATGCGCCGCGATCAGTTGAGCAAAGCAGCACAATTTCATGTGCTCACTACCCACAGCCATCCACCACCACTTCGATGCATAGATTGATCCATCCACAGATGTCACAACCATACAGCAAATTATTTGAGATTATGGGGGTTCAAAACTTCCACTGGGTCAAGCAGTGATTCAGGCTCCATAATCAATCCAGCGCTTCACGGATGGATGTTCAAGAACATCGGCAGGAGCGTCATTCGCAATCCACCTTGGGTTTGTGGCTCAAATGGTGAGACTAAACATTGGCACAAACCACCACCACAAATTCATTAGCACAAATCACCATCATGGCCGTGTAATTAGCTCATATTCCTGAAAATGAAAACCAAAATCAAAATATACAGTAAAACCGCCAGCTAATCATCAATAAACCAATTGGTTACAGTAATTTATGATTTGTTGGTGGGTGAGCCCCGATTCAATAAGTATCAACATAACCTACTGGTTAATTGATGATTAGTTGGTGATATATATATAATTGATAATTAACTAACCTCAAAAAACAACTAATTATATAATTGATGATTCGTTGATGGTTGACTGGTTAACCACCAGCTTAAAAAGAACCAACTGGTTAGTTGGTGACTAGTTGGTGGTTAAGCCCCAACTCGATAGTAACCAATTGGTTATGATGATAGTTGTTGAACTGGTTGTTAATCACCAACTAATCATCAATTAACCAAGTGGTTTTTTATCCAATAGTTATCCGGTTAAATTAACACATAGTTAGTTACCCCAATAGTTAACCCATTAACCAAATAGCTAGTTAACCCAAAATTGATTAATCCATCCAAACCATTTTCTCCTTCAGCCCGGCGACTTGTTGCGTGCTTCCGCGGCCATCCTCTTCGCGCTTCTCGGACTCTTCTTGAGCGTCCGGGCTGCTTTGTGGGCGGCGCTGTACACCTTGGTGGGTATCACTGTATCACAATAATAAACCACCCCCATTTAACAACTATCAATTTATCATCCCAAGTAGGGGTGTCCAATTCATAAACATATATTGGGGTGTGGTTTATTAAATTGAAACCTCTATTATCAGTGCCATACATGGATCCTATGGCTTAAAACAACCATTTTGGGGGGCTGATAATTTTGAGCCATAGTCATATGGACAACTGTTGGTGTATTGATGGGAGTTGATTATTATAATATATTTTAATGAATATAAACGGAAAGATTGATTGACAATATCATGGCTGATTTATGGCGATTTATGGGGTTTGACCCCTGTACTAGCGGGAAACCATCCGTATTTTGGGATCGATAATTGTGGGCCATGTCCACTTATATATCCCGTGGTTGTTCCAAATAGCGGTTATTGATACCTGTTGATCATGAATGGTACAGCCCATATCTCGGTAACATCACTCAAGCTGAACACTTAATGATCACGCAAATGAATGTGTATCTTTTGGGTGATAGTTAATGACCAATTATTGGTTGGGGTAGCATACCATAAGATACCCATATCGATTACCCAACATAGTTTTGGGGATGCCACCTGTTAACCCCCTCATTTATTGAGCAAGGATTTCATGCCTAAATTGGCTGCCATGAAAGCGCTGCAGGTAAACAGCGCCAGATTCTGTCTAGTTCATACGGTGAATCACTGACAGGGTTAAGCCATGTCGAGCCCACCCTGGGTCACACCAAAAAATGTCATTCAGCTAAAGTGCGGAATGCAACTTCCTTTCGATCTCATCCTTGACCCTGGGCTTCTGGGGCTTTGACTTTCTCTTTGGCTCAGCTGCTGCTTTTGCTTTTGCTTTTGCTTTCGCTTTGCCAGCTGGAGCTGCCTTGGCTTTTGCCTTGCTACCCACGTTGCTACTTCCACTCTTGGACATCGTTTTCTTCGGCCCCGCTTTTGCTTTCCCCTTGGCTTTTGCAGCCTTGCGTTTGGGCTTTGGTGTTGCAAGGGGACCCTCAATTTCCTCACATGGCTTGTCAGCCGGTGATATCAACTCATCAACACTTTCTTGGGTTGCTGGGATGCTCTCAGAGTCAGCCGGTGGCATCAACTCATCAACGGTCGGCGGGGTTGCTGGGGAAAACAAATCAGCCTCATCCTGCTGTGGGGCGTTTGACTCACCCTCGGAATCATCACCCGGTGTCATGACATCACTCATAGTTTTTGCTGCTGACAAGGGCGTTGCAAAAACTTCTCGGTGTTCACCATAGTGCTCCATGCCATGTGTCGGGGTTCCAGGAAGGTCCATGTAGTCATCCTGGAGTGATTCAATTAATTGTTAACCGGTAGATGAAATCCTTGCTCGATAAATGTTACAAGCTCTACCACCAGATCTTAGAGTTCAGAAATTTCTGCACAAACTCAGGTTTGGTATGGTTTGGTGATCATCGACAACATCACGGTCCTTGCCCACTTCCTTTTCACCCAGGACAGGGCCCAGATTCTCGTGGGCGGTGCTGCGGTTCAACTTGGGACGGTCCTGCGGATGCACGGATGTTCCACTTTGCTTTTTCATTGCTTATTTTATTAATGTGATTAATTATCAATGAAATGAAATATGATTAGCATAAACAACAATCAAAACCATCAAGAATAATCATGAATAAAACAGTGGTGAACAGTCAATTAATTATCATTGATGTTAAATCACTCATGATCAATATTGATGAATTGATGATCACCAATGTTCAATCGTGCGCTGTTTCTTCTTGAATAAGAATACAAACGTTTGATCATCATTGATGTTCAATCATAAACTGATCTCACTGATCATTGGCTAAAATCAATAGTTGATCATCATGAATCGATGCTCAATCATCGATGGCATGATGCAGAATTAAACACAATCAAGCCACGATGTTCAGTCATGAGCGAGCATTCAGTTAGTTAACAACATGATGAACATTGATGATCAACGCTGCTCAATCATAAAGGATGGTTCATTATGCGTTGCTAATCATCGATGCTAAAAAAATGATAACCATATGTTTAGGAATTACATGAAGCCCTTCCCCCAAAAGCCTCGGAATCATCAGCGGGAATTGCCAAATCACCGGGATATCTGTCTGGGGTCGCAAATGGATCCTGCATGGGCTTGGCAGGTTTGAATGGTACCACCACCCTTATGTACATGTTGGGTTTTACTATGTTTCACAACCAGTTTACTATGTGGTGTTGCTTAAATAAGATGGATTTGCCAGCAATGATGTTCAAAAACAGTTTGGGTCCTTCACCGTCCAGTCACCCTCCTGGTTGTCCACAAGGGGTGGGGAGAAGGTATCCATGTTGTCATCATTCTCAAGTTGAGGAGTGGGTTCCATCACAATCCTCAGCTTACCAAAACAAAATGAACCAACATGAGATTGTGACTTGATGTCTCGATGATTTTTTGGTTCTGCCAGTTTTAATTTATATAAAGACAAGTCACAGCGAATCAGGCTGCGGCTCCGTCAATCCGAGATCATCTTCATCCCCACAAGGCACTGACCTGTTCAATTTACATTGGTTGTGCTTGAAAACGGGTGCCTTTGATTTGGAAAACTCATATGGCAATCCACCATGACCACACCCCAAAGGTAAATCTATGAATGCCATGTTGGATTACCCATAACTGAAGGCGGGCACCTGTAAGCACTGTATGACTCAGCTGCTTCAATCATGTGCTGAAAGGGCAGGGGCTCCACATGTGGGGCCTGAACAATCAGACATCGTGTAATCAACTGATATGTGGTACAGACAGTACAGCTTTCATGGACATCGGTCAAAGAGAAATGCAGCTACATGCAGGTATGACAATAAACACCATTTGTGTACTAGCTATAGGATAGCCCCACAGATCTTGTAAACCATCTCCAGAATTTGCAATGGTGTATTTTTGTCATACCTAGAGAAAAAGAAATCACACGCCTTATCAGCATCATCCCAAATGTTTCTTTTGGCGGGCTTCTTCAAACTTCCGCCCTTGGTTCCCTTTGTGGACGTTGCAGGTCGTTTCTTGGGTTTCTCTGAGTCTTTTCCCCGCTCCAGTTCATCTAATCCTTCCAGCTCACCAAACAGGTCATCACCCTCGTCATCATCACCATCATCTTTCTTTCCACCATGCAAGGGTTTGTGATCATCATCTGGTTGTTCATCGTCGTCCTCATCAGCTTTGTTTTTCTTGTCTTTTTTGTTTATCTTCTTGTCCTTCTTATCTTTCTTGGTTTGCTTGCTTGTTTTCTTGACATCATGCTGCGAGGACTCTTCCGACGATTGGAAGCGCTCCGGCTGAATGTGGGGCGCACTGCCTGGGATAACAGGACCAGGAGGAACTAGATCAATAAGTAAGAGGACATGGGGAACTAGCTAATTGATTATATCTAATTGATAGCTAATTGATTATATCTAATTGAATATATCTAGGATATGGTTACCACATGGATATGCTAAAACCGCACCATATCAAAGCGATCAGATATGGCCAAGAAACTGGCACCAGCTGAATGACTGGTTGATGGGGCTGGCACATGGCCACTTGAAGCTGAAGGAACCCGACTGGTCTCACTCACAATCTTTTCCAAATCAAAAGCCTGAGAAGGTTGACAGGTGAGGTACTGTACTGTTAACTACTGGTTAATGTTGGGTGTAAATAATGGTTTGGATCAATGTGGGTTACCCGATAAGAAACCACCTTGTTTTGGATAGCTATTACAGCCCATTTATGGTAATCTTGGTGGTGGTTTTTTATTGCGTAGCTGGCCTTATTGATGATCATTGTTCAAGCAGCAGCAAATTGCAAATGAGTAGCGGGGGCCCGTCGCTTTGGTTGAGGTGAAAGGATCTGGATATCAGAGTCCGTGGAATCATGCTTACCCAGCTTCCGTCCCTTATCCATCATCTACTAAGCACCTACCTGATCCTTAATCAACAAAAAGACTGCGCACAAACATGCGCACTGAGCCGAGTGAAACCATTGTGTTTGAATTGAACCATGGTTCACAATAAATCCGACCATGACTGAATGCATTTGGAGATTGAGCACCTCACCTAATGCCACTGTGCATTTTCAAGCAGAGTTGAAGGAACAAAGCAGGCAGCTACGGCGGATGGTTTTGTCTCATGTGAATCACACATCCCCCTGGTTGCACACTCATGCCAAAACATCATCATGATTCAGATTCATGACCTTAAAATATAGACGAGTAATACTTAATGTATCTTAATGTATCATTGGCGTGGGGACGCCCGCATTTTCACATGGTCGCACCATGCGTTTGGTGTTTGGATCACAGGTAGGCGACGTGCCCGCAAAATTGACCCATTCATGGTGATAACACCACCTGCTTCATGAAGCCGAGTTCCTAAAGCTGTCCCTCATAAACAATGATCAAAGCATGATTAATGATTAATCAATCAATCAATAGCGCTAAATTGACCATATCTATCAGGATGGTATTCTGGTTAGCCGTGTAAACAGTTTGATGGTGTTTGAAGCCCACTGGATGAATCATGGCTTAGATTTTTATAGATTTTTTCACGGACCAGCTCAGGAATCGGAAAGCTTCACATAAACTTGACGACTTTTTGGTCAAGATCGAGCACTCCAGCCAGGCACGCCACGGGTCTGATTGGGACCAAAGTTTTGACCCCTGTGGTGTTGCTGCAATCCAGCCTGCCCAGAGCAATTCCGACCCAAATGAAACAGTGGTCCACTCACCTAACATGATGTGATGTACAGTAATGATAAAGCCAAGAACAGACATATTGCATGGGGCACCTCACCCTCCATCCAATGATCAATCTCTTGCATTTCTTGAACTTGCTGATGTCGATAACCGACCCAAAGCTTTTAGCGGTCAAAGTGGTGCCAGTACCTGATTTCCTTGCTCTTTTCGGGGCCGGCTTACCATCCTGCCCTTCATGCTGCTTCGGAGGATCCATCATGAAGACCAATGGCTTCGCGCTTGCCACTTGGTCCATCGAGGTGATGGTGTGGTGGGACAGGGCCAGCTTCACCTGCAGGATTGGGTGATATAGAGTGATAATGAACCATGGTGATAATTTTGATGGTGATGATGATGATAATGATGGTGATGAAAATGATTGAGGATGATGATGCTTAGGAACAAGAAATCATGATGATGATGATGATGATGATGGTGATGATGATGGGGATGATGATGATGATGATGCTGATGATGATGATGATGATGATGTTTTTGATGAACTTGGGAAACTGTCCATGATAAAAAGGTATCTTTCCCATGGGTGGACCAATAATTGGTATGATACATACATGCATACATGCATATAAACATATGCATATCTACAGGGTCAAAAAGTTACCCCTATAGGCTTATAGCGGTAATTTGTTGACTTGCAACTTGTCTACCATCTGCACATTTACATGTACACAGAACATAATGATGTTAATTAAAGTGATGATGGTCATGATGATGATGGCGGTGTAAATGAACCATGATAATGTTCAAAAAATGGTGATGGTGATGAAGATAATCAAGGCCATGATTATAGTGACGATGATGATGATGAATTTGAGAAATTTTCCGTTATAAAATGGTCTCTTTCCTATGGGTTGCCCAGGAATTGGTATGATACATACATGCGTACATACACATAAACATATGCACACACACAGGGTCAAAAAAAACAATGTAGGGGTAATTATTTTGACTTGCAACTTGTCTATCATCTGTACATGTACATGTACATTGAACATGATGATGGTAATTAAAGTGATGATAGTCATGATGATGCTGATGATGGCGGTGAAGATGAACCATGAGAATGTCTAAAGCATGATGATTGTGGAAAAAATGTTGATGATGGTGATGATGATGATGATAAATATGAAGACGAAGAAAAAGAAAAAAAACACACACGACGACTATTATGATGATGATGGTGGTGATGATGATGGTAATGGTGATGATGATGATAATGATGATGGTGATGAGCGATGCTGATGAATGATGATAATGATGATGATGATGATGTAACGATTTGTCCCGGACCTTGATATTTTCCTGGAAACCCAGCGAAATATCATTGTGTTGGACCCAGCTGGCTTAACATGAAGAAGAAGAAGATGACGATGATGATGAGGATGAGGAGGAGGAGGACGCCGATGATGATGATTATGATGATGATGATGGTGCTGTTGTTGAAGTTGTTGTTGATGATGATGATGATGATGAGGATGATGATGGTGATGATGGTCGTGGTGATGGTGATGGTGGCGATGGTGTTGACGATTATGTTGTTGGTGGTGGTGATGATGATGATGATGATGTTGATGATGACTTTGTTATTCAAATTTGGGTGATGATAATATTGCTGAATGTACTCGTGAACCCAAACTTGATCCTGGCTCATGGGTAAGTAGTCCGCTACCTATTGACAATCTATACATACGTATATTTACATATATAAATGCAGTGTGTATATCATTGATGTATATACTATACGATGAAAATGTAAATATGAATATCTCCTACAAATAGGTGCATACCTGAAAAAGATACATACCTATGTAGAGATATGTACTTAGTGACATATATGCTTAAATAGATGTACCTGTCATACCTGTCGGTATACATATATACACATGTAGGCATGTACATGGCTATCACGATATTTATACTTGTATGTACTTATATATATATGTGTGTAATTAGATGGTACCATGTTTCCAAAGCAGAGTTGTTGGTTGCATACCAATGGATTGATCTACTGACCCCGCCTCACCAGCATCCTCCAACTCCCTAAGTATGGTGGATAGATAGGTTGGTGATTCACAGCAGGGCAACCCATTAAGGTGATCTGGTAGATGTTTCTTTTCCAAGATCATCACTGTGCGTGGTTCTGCCGCAAAGCTGAACCAACGGCCACATGAATCATCCGCCATCACTTCAGAGGCTTCCTTGGCTATCAGTTTTTTTCTAACGGTGGGTGAGAGATTGACTACTGTTATTGTCAGTCTTGTGAGATGTTTGAAGCTAATAATTTTATCAAAGACTCTTGTCCGGATCTCCAATCGCCAGACCCGAAGCTAAACCTCAGCAGAGAACCATATTATTTATAGAGCTTTCAAGTCTAGTTTCCACATGAATGCACATTGATGTATATTGGGGCTCATCTGTAATCACCAATCAGTGTACACCGAAGCATCGATCAGAAAAACAAGCAGTAATTAGTTAGCACTGCTTCATGTTTAGGGGTGATATTTTGAAAACCTGGAGCAAGGAGCAGCTCTCGGTGGGTCAAAAATTGGTTCTTCCCACGGGAAACCAGATAGAGTGGTCCGCCCTCTCGACCGCAAACCAGTTCAGCGATGTTGTTGATCTGAAGGCTGAACCTGGCTGGGAGGTAATCGGTTACCATTACTATACGAGGTAATCGGTTGTGATTGGTTGTGATTGTTTGTGATTGGGCAATAAGAACAAACATCCTCATTGATTTGGTTGATTCAAATCTTGCTCAACTATGATTCTTAGCTCGAGGGTTCAAACCAAGCTCCCAATATAGATGGGCTATGGAAAACCAACAATTTCTAAAACAAGATTCAGCCCACCATTTTCTATTGCCGATGGAAACCAGATCAATCAGATGGTTCACTTTGAAGCAATGTGAAAAGCAAACAAAAATCATAAACAAGACTCCCCTTTCAATAGAAACCCGGATATAATTGATAGCTTGCATGCTACAACCATGAAACACATGTAATTACCAACATACATCGCATACCAATATTGTTCCAAGTACACCCATGACATAATCATATTCGCATATAGCAAGAAACAGGTTATTGATGCATCTATGGCCATCCGGCCCCTCGAAATGGAGTTCCAAATGTTTAACGGGATATATTCATCATGATTGATATGTCAGTATCACAAATGCCAATCCAGAAAGCGCATAATAGTGGGGAACCAACTTACCAACCAAATACGGGGCAAGGTACGGCTTTTGGAGGTTCACCACATCGGATTCTGCTGCCACCTCACCCGTCTCCAGAGCAATCCTTTTGTGAGGTCGATTGCCCGCTTCCTCTTCATCGGGTTGCCTTCACAAGGCTTGGCAGCACATGGAAGGGGCAGGCTTGGAATCATGGTCCTAAGACAAGATTGCATGTCAGATTTGAATACGTAAATCCTCACTGATTGATTGTTTTGTTGAATTTTAATAAAGCCTTCGTGACGTGACCCTTTCAAACCACTATTTTAACAAGTGACCTAAGGTAACCTTTTGGGGGCCCAAAAAACATTCTCCAGGTCACTTGTTAAAATGGTGGTTTCAAAGGGTCATCGAAGCGTTTGGAAATCCAACGGGGTGTTTTGATTTATGCTGGTTGGATGGGTAAAACCCCGAATCATTGAAAACCTATTTACCATGTCTTACCCAAATTAGCCTCTCAGTGAGCTCATGCCAATACTCACCATCCACGTTGTATTTGGCATTGTGGGCTTTGATGTCAGCTGCGACTTCATCTTTGAACTCCGAATCCACCCACTTAGCTGCAAGGGATGCAAGGATCACTAAGCGGTCATGTTTTTTCACCGTGACTTGGTACTGTTTGCCACTGTCCTGGGGCGCGGCATTCTGCAAAGCTTGCACCACTGGGCCATAGTCGGGGAAACCACACAGTTTCAAATGACCTGCCCGGGCATCATCATACACCCGGTTGGCCACACGTTGGGACAGGTGTTCCTCATTGGCCTTGTCCAAGATGGCATTGGCGCAAAGGACCCGCCTTCCCTCCGTTGTCTCCTGTTGGGAGAGCTTGAAGGGAAAGAGGGGAACTATATTACAGGCCAATCCATCTAATATGTGGGAAATTCAATTTAGATGTATCATTCTGTGCACCAGGAAATGTTATACATGCGTAGTCCCTGTCATTACGGCATGTCAAGATATATGTGAAAGAAACCGGAATAAAATTGCAAATGCATTACATTAATTGTCATTACCACACATCATATAGTAATGGATATGTGATTGTTTACCAGTGTGCCTCAAGTGCTGCAAGAGCCGGCCAACAGTCGTAGGCGTGGAGGTCCACCACGATTGCTGTGCTGACAGTCTCAGGAAGGAAAGCAGCCAGGGTCTTCCGTACGAAGTCACACCCACCAGCCACCTATCAAGGATCTGAGAACAAATCAAAAAAATCTGATGTTGTCGGGAAAATGGCATGGAATTAAACATTTGTATCAAATAAAAACTTGGAAACTACCAACTACCCGTCAGCACCCAGAGGTACCTGACGTAACTCTTGCGCATCAGTAAAAGCACGTCCTAGATGGGGTGCGGACGATGACCGTGCCTCAAGCTGATTTGGCAGGCTTGCTTCAACGATCTTTTTTTGAAGATTGAAAACATTAAAAACAAAAACATCATGGAGGAACAAGAGGGAACAAGGAGTTAGTAGGTTTGGTTTGATGCCCATTGGAAAACATGTTTTGACTAGGTACATCAGGCTTCCACATCTCAGCCCGGGATAACATGCAAACGTCCCTGATGATCGCGTGTCGCCAGCCGACGGAATTTTTGAGCAGGTTCGATTTCTCCTTGTGCACAATTGCCAGACCGTGGATGCAAGCGTCACGCTTGCCAAACACAGTTGCCTGGTACAATCAGGGGTAACACTGTTGGTGGTATATGTTTTAACCACCTTGGTTCATTCAATTTTTTGTTCTGATGTTAAACCTTTTGTTGTAACACCCAGCCTTGTCAAACACCCAGGTCAAATCCTTGACAACCAGGTTGCGACTCTTTGCAGATAGCGCCTTCCTTGTAAACTGGGCTCATGGTGTAAGAACAAGTCCATATAAACCAAACATAATAAATAAACCAAGCATAACCAATAAACCAAACATAACCAAACTTAACAAATTGGTGTGTCGAGGAGGTGAAACAAAAACATATTGTAACATTGCCGATGTTCTCCAGTTTGAATTTCATGTCCCGGATATCCGACTCCTCGACCGAGTCCTCATTGTCTGTCATGTCCTGGTCGTCCGGGTCCTCCTCTTTCATCTCTTCATCCTTTTCCAGCTTCTCCTTCTTCTCGGATTTCCTTCAAGTGTGATGGAAATGTTTGTTCAAAAATTGTGGATCACTGGGAACTTCTTATCACCACAAAATACCACAAAGACATGGAAGAGAGATATGTTAATACAACCCCAAAGACTTGTCCTTCCGTTGTCAGATGCCCGATTGCAATGGACGATCACGCCCAGCCCGTTGCGTTTGTAACATGAAAGGATGTTTGTCAAAGATGTGAGGAACCAGTCATATTTGGCCGCCGGCATCACACCGACCGTTGTCAAATTGGCCCATGCAATCACGCAGTGATCCTCCGCGCTTCGCACTTCCTTAGTGAAGCCAAGCGGAAAGAAAACATATGATGGTTGTGGGGAAAAAAAGTTGTGGGGTAAATCGAAAGAAGTTGAAGTGCCAGTTCAACTCATCACTTATCAACTTATCACTTATCACATTATGTTTTTTGCAAAGCAAGGTAAAGATAACAAACCAACATATTTGCTAGCCAAACAAAGGTCTAAAGTTCAGAAAAAAACGGATGGGCTGATGAAATCGAAGGTTCAGGGATGTCAGACAATGTTTGATGGATCCATCCAGAAATGGACGGCAAGATTGTCGATTCCGCCTCAATGGCTTTGCCGGGGAAAAACTCCAGGTTCTGCCGTACATAGTCGGCCACAAGATCCCAGGCTTTCGTGTGCATCTCCTGGCATTAAATACATTATTAGACATTTCATGCCCTCTAAGAATCTCTCAGACAAAGATACAACCTGGGCCATACAATGTTGATATTCTTGAGGGGGGTAAAGGTTACATACACCTTGGAAAAACATTTTCCAAAATTGATTGATTTGATAATTTTAGTCTTATCTACCTTTGGTGGAAACATGTGGAAACCATGCGGCTCCTCAAGCTGCCCCACCAATTTGCTTCGCCGCTTTGCATATTCCACCTCACTCCTTGGCTCGGGCAGGACAATTGGAGATGGGAATGGTGGACATCAAAGAGGCTAGCCGGGCCAGTCAAAACTGTGGGTTAAACATGATGGTCAAAGGAGATTATGGGTTATAGCAGGATATTAGCAACATTCTCATTGGTAAAACGATAAAACCGTAAAACCATGTAAAACCCATGGCGTCCCAAGTGTCGAGATCCGTTCAGACTCAAAATTGACTTGGTCTGACTGCAACATTTCACGCCAAACGTTGTAGGCAGCTTGGACGCTCTTTGCATGAGCATTTTTTGTTCGGTCTTGGGCGGCACTAATGAAGTCATCGACTGTTTCCCCACGGATCTGCAAAGGGCATCAAAGTTAGCACCAAACTACACCAACAGAAAAACTCTAGAATACATAACCGGGTTTCCCAACATTTATTCAACACATTTTTCCTATTCACCAGGAAGCCACTCACCCGGAATGGAAATTGGAAACCAGGATGGTCGCTCAAGAACAGCAGTCACATAGTTGAGTAGGCACCCATGTTGAAAACCGCAACCGCCTGTTTATGTACTTGAACACTTTGATTCACTACAGTACGATGGCCTAGAGTGTACTTACCCACCTTCCAACATGTGCATGGGAAATCATGTTTAATACGTACCACGCAATCAAAATACTTTATACATGTATAGTTAATTATATATATATGTATGTATGTATGTATGTATGTATGTATGTATGTATACATATGATGGAACCAATCCAACTTGCTTGCATGAATTGATATACCCATTTTCATAATTGTATACTCAGACCTTCGCATATTAAGATTAGACATTCACGCATGCGCACATACAAATCCCAAACAAATGTACTCCATTTAGATAAGTGTGTATCTATGTATGAGTGTGTCAGATGTACAGCTTAACAACTAACCATTTTTTGACCCCTCCTCCAGTACGAAAGAGATGCGCTCCCAATCAAAGTCCTGTGCAGCACGCATCACCGTGGCCAGGTCTCCATCCAAGCTCCTTAGCAGTTGGCAAGGAAGTCGTCAGGGAAACCCAGTTTGGATTCCAAGCCCATCCGCAAAAACAATAAATCCAAAAAATATCAAAAAAGAATCACATTCAGGATCCTCTAATCAGCTTTGGGATTGTGACGGGTTTCTCGGAAATCCATTGATAGAACCCTAGGGTAAAGGATAAACAAATCAAACTCAGGGTTATCAAAAATAGGATGGCAGCATGATTCATTTCCACCAGAACAGCCAAATGGTGACGGGGTTTCCCAGGAACCAGTCACAACTTGAACCTTGGGATCGGGTTTCAGATGTGATTTGTTTTTTTGAACATTAGTGCCGGAGCCGGGATCCAGAAGTGTGACGGGTTTTCCGGAAAACCCTTGATGACATCAGCCCCTCCGCCGGGATTTCGTCAAATTGTTGGCGGGTTCCCCAAATAATTGACGGATCCATGAATTTTATGACGTATTTTTGGGCCCTACATGTGGGAACATTGCATTTAGGAATATGAGCATTGGGGATTCTCAATCAGGAGCAGCTACTGACTACCATGGCACTGCTGGTGTTTTAAAATGTGACCATATTTGAAATAAGAATCCCGCGCATGAACATCTCATGGTGTTTCTGCACCACTGGCTGGGGGAATGCGGACTCCAATTTGGGGAGGAGATAGTGCCATAGGCAACAGCAGTCGAATAGCAGCAGGTGCCCCTCTTCATCCAACTGAGCCATTTTCTGGCACAGGGTGGTAACATGACGACTGATTATTTAGTTTAAAAGCATACGGGTATTAACCAGTTAAAGATCACAAGGGTTTGAAGAGCTTGGAAAATAAAATGTTGATTGGTTCCCTTCCAAAACAGTCCTTGCTCTTGGTGGAGCTGTCCCGCCCAACGCGACGTTCGAAGTCCTGAAAGGGGTTAGTAAAGGGTGTGTGAACGCAACATGCCAGAAACAGGTATCTTAAAGCAACCAACCCATGAATTAAACTAACCATTGTTGTGTGAGCACACAATGTCCTGAGTGACTCGGCTGATCCATGTATGGCATGTCGGAATGGTCGGAGTCAGGATTTCCCTGAACAACGGTTTGCCATTGTACTTTGAACTCTCTGATCTTGATGTTGATCCAGGGACATAAAAATCCATTTGGAGGATGTCAATCGGCAAGGCTGACAGGGTGGCGTCATGGAAAATAAGAGGATCAAATTAAAATGATGTTTACCTTGATCATCTCATCATAGTTACTATTATCATAGTGAAGCACACCAAAAAGAAAGAATGGTTTACCAGGATGCTTCCAACAAGGCTTCAAAGCACCATTAACATGATAAGCATGTATCAAGTTAATTCCTTCACCTTGATCTTGGCAATTAGATTCTGAATGAACATACCTGACATAAACAACAAAATAATTACATAGAAGACTGGCTGGTGGATTTTATTTTGGGAACCCAGCCTGACTGTGCATGTGGGAAAGAATCATAGTGCCGATGAATGGCTTGGTGAACAGCATCATCTGTACGCAGCCTCAAAACATGAGTGAAACCATCGTACAGCAGATAATTCCGCTGAACATCATTTAATTCCGTTGAACATCATTGAACTGAAAACTAAAAGTAAAAGTAAATCAATCGTATTTTGTTCCAGGAACATATTCATGACCAAATTCTTGGTAGGGGTGTCGATTTTGTGAGAACGTTTGGACACCATCTTGTTGTACTCCCCGACACACCTGCTAAGAACATCACGCAGGGCCTTTGACACGCCTGCCTTTGCTAGGCGCTTTTCGATGGCCACAGCTTCCTTCATAGCACCAAGAATGTCGATGGGGCTGGGAGCCTGCTTCTCAGCGGTCACATGCTGAACGCCTTAGCGATGGAAGATGATGACAGTTATGTTGTACCATGTTGTACCAGTGTGGGTGTTACAAACTATCAGGGGTTGTATTATTAAGTAAACGCCCAAAAACATGATGAATAATCCACCAAGATTCGAAGGGCATGCAAATAATGATGGGCAGGGTTTTCAAAGTGGGTGTAGGAGCACCGGACCCACCGAAAAGAAGCCAACATTGATTTGACTCCCGGAAGTGAAAGCTCTTCAGGTTTCAGCTCCTGGCTTGTACATACATACTTCCCACAAAAATCATTGTAGTCCACAAATATGAAATGGGTTATGCCTCCCCTGAAAGAGATTTAAAAAGAAAATATAAATAAATATATATATATATATGATGTGCAATCTCAGCGTTTTTTGTTGGAATTAAATGATCAAAATTTGCAATCCCAATGCATGACCATGGGTCCAGATGGTGGCATATCATGGTGATCCCGACCATAATGAGGATTTTATTAAATCCGTCGCTGATGCCAACACTGTGTGGATGCACCACCCTGGACCCGTCAACCACCGGGAATTTGCACTGCACAGCTTCGGCTGATGAGCGGTACCCCCGCAGGAACTCCCGAAAATGTGCCGCCACTTGAACGTTCTGGGGATAATCTGGCAGGGCCAGGAGCACCGATTGGTATTGACCAATGCTACTGATGACAGGTTGAACTATGGAAACAGGAAGAACATTAATATTTTAAAATTCAATCTGATGATGTATGAAACGTGTTTGGGTTGCCTATGGTGGCTACTTGTTTTTCAACACCCCCACATCCAGACTTCGAAGTCCTACAGACATTGAAGCTCTTGAGTTCAAGCCAGAATTCTTCTAAGCTGTCATTGGGAACAGTCTGCAGCACCAGCCGTTGCTCCCCCTCATAGGCATCCGACACCAAGCCGTGAACCACCTGAAGGGTGGAATGTTAGGTTGTTTTAATATGCCAAACCAATGGCCATGTATTATCTTAACACCGCCACCCTTAACAAGCTGATAACTTGAAAGAAACACATACCAGGGTTGAGCCTGGGCCAAAGTAGTACGGTCTGTCTTGTTGACAAACTCCAAAATTTTCTTTCTCAATGACCTGAGCAAGTTCATCCTAAATTACACCAGGATAACCCAGCTACATGCACAAATTGAATAGAAACAACAAGGAAAATTCAGCCCCTGACAGAGTCAAAGTAGGCTGCAATCTTTTGCAGTACGGCTTCACTAGCCGGGTCGCCGGAGAACTCCGCCATTTTCAGGGCCCCAACAGAAAACCAGTTGAGCCGCTGATAAACAAAACGTGTTGAAACTCATTTGCTCCAGAACAGAAACATGTTGTCTTGCAACCTGTCTCACCTGTCTCTAAGTAAAGGCACAGCACCACTGTATCTTTTTTCACCCCAATGCCCCATGAAATGCCACCATCACGCAGCCCGATGGTGGAAAACCACCTTAAGTTTGTATGGCCTGGGAGGCACGGGTCGTTGCCCTAGCCGCAAACCACCCCCATTGTTAAAATTTGCTGGCCCTGACTCGATGAATTTCAGGGTACCACATGGTTCAATTGGCCTTGTCCCCTCAGCAAGTGACTTCAAGTACATCGCACCCCGGTTGAGGTGTGGAAAGTCCGACTGCATGTTTTGAGCTAGCTCTAAGAGGTCCTCACATCGTGATTCTTCCAATTCAGGGTGAAGCAACATCCGAGTGGAATTGATCCGGTTGAAGAAATTCTGGGTGGCATCCAGGAACGCTTGAGGGTAAACCAATATCGGTGGCTGAATCAAATGATCATCAGACATAGTTTGTTTGACCATGGCGAAGATGTCTCTGTTGTTGCCCTGTGATCTCAACCGTCTGGGGGCTCGGTCGTCCATTTCCAAGCCACCAGGCATCCCTCAGGGAAATTAAAATATTTAACATGACATGACCAAAAACCCTAAACCCGTTTTGACCAAAACAGGAAGCAGGTATCTAAACATTGACATATTTAGCAAACCCTTCCAAACCTTCCCGGGCCATAAAGCTGAAACTTTGCGGCACTGCCCATTGCTCCGGCCCATCCCGGTCACCTTTACGAAGTTTGTAGCAGTTTGTCAAAGTTGCGCCAGCTGGCATCAAAGCACACCAATTCCGGATCTTAGCCACAAGGGGACACCCAATTTGACTATACCAATGTTTGTTCTTTGTTCTTTCTTGGTTGGCCCTGCTGATTTCTAAGACAGCCTCCATGATCCTTTAAAACCATTATTTTAACAAGTGACCTGGAAAAATGTTTTTGGACCCCAAAAAGGTTACTTCAGGTCACTTGTTAAAATGATGGGTTTTAAGGATCACGGAGGCTTTTGGAAATCTAACGGTTGGCCCCACTTAAACCCGCTAAGAAGCTTGTGACACGTACTCGCAGTCAAACTCCATCCCGGATTTGGCAAAGAGAGGTCTCATCCGGTCAATCAAGGTCCTGGAAAGGAGGACAGGAAATAGTTAAGAACAGAAATGGGCCATTGAAGAAACAGAAAAACATATAATAAACTGGTAGGAAGAAAACAACTTTAAATAGACACTGTCGAAGTCCTTTGGACATCGCGTGGTGATTGCAAATCATTGCTGGAGTTAAGTGCAGATGTGACGACGCTGAAGACGCCGTCTCAGGGGCAGAAAGATTGATGATGGTTACTTCAATCGCATGTTCAAAACTGTTTACGGCCACACAAAGAGCGTTAAAACCAACCTTGCTGTTTCTTTTTGTGGTTGACCCCGAACTTGACATCTTTGTTTTTTGATACCCAGGCCTATGTCTTCGTGAGTGTGTCCCACCATCAAATGATGGTGGGACACACAAGTGAACCACCCCCCTTGGGAAAGAAGTGATGCCCATCTCCCTGTGTAGCTATTACGGACTTCTTTGACAGCGTTGTCGCCCTGTAGCCATAGCCTAGGCGATGAATCCCATAAACAGTCAATGACATAATGACAAGATTTTTGCAATTTGTTTCCAACCAACCTGTTTCCAAACAATAACCAATTAGCTAAATATTAGAGGGGTAGACCTAAGACTGTTTTAGGCTCCAAATACCCAACTACCCAACTATCCAAGAGACTCGGAGGGCAGAGAACGGTTCTGCCGCTGTGCAATCGCAAAGGCACGATCGATGGACTTCATTGCCTGGGCGCCAACACAGGCTGGTGAGCTGTGCTAATTGAGGAAGGGAAACATGACGGTGACCAGCGGCTGCAGCAAAGATACAACTTCGAGAACCCAGCTAGCTCCAGTGGGCATCCCCTCATCCGCCAAGTAGAGGTATACCCCAAAACCATGAACGATGCACCCAGTCAATGTCAAAGAAGTTCCTCATTCTTTTGGAAACAGCAGCCAAAGAGGATTGTAAACACATATATCTTAAACCAATTTATGTGAATGTACCTGTGTCTACATGTGGGTAGAGGTCCGCATTCCTGATTGATAAACCTGCCGTAATTGCAACACATGTGATCATGTATTAATAGGTAATACGGAGATAGGAATTTGCGTGTGAGAGTATTATGTGTGCATGAAGGTATGTATAGATTGCATGTCATCATTACTCTGATTTTTGACATGTGATTATGAAATCACATATGCCAGAAAACATTTTTTGGACACAGGGATCCGGATATATTGTACATGTTTTGATGGGTGGATTTGTTGGAAAAGAACAGCGGTCATATGCAGTCAATTTGCTATGCACTCTCTCATAGACCGGTTTTTTTGGAGTTCGCCCGAATGCCCACCTTGGCAATGTGACCTTACATTTGTCGTAGCTATCGATGATAACCACCAGCATGTCCCCAAAAGTCTTGGCCCGCTCCCGGGCTGTCCAGTACACCTGTCTGTCACTGAATGTCTGGAAGTAGTGAGTGAGGAGGCGATCACTCCATAGCGATTGTTCCTGCAAATCCTTAGAAAATCAAAAGGGACAGGGGACATATGAGTCCACCCGGACTATCAGGTTTATAGATCATGATTCAAAGATGATGCACATTCTGGTTGAAATGCAACAAAGTATCTTTGCTGTTTCTGATTCGCATCTTCAGGGAGCTACAAGTGATGCAGACTTGATGTTGGGTTTTTTTGTGGAACCGCAAGGCAGTTCTCCATCCATCACAAACTTGGAAGAAAGTCGACTTGCAGGCTGGTTCCGCACCATGGGCTCGGCAGTGTGCTTGGTACATCACATAAACGTTTGACCAGTTTCCATGCGGAAGTTCCCTTAAAGACAATCGCTGGGGGTCTTTGCTGAGGGTGATTTGAGCGAAGGGCCCTGTCAACCTGCAATCAATAAGCCGTTGCAACAACTCTTCCCTGAGGTCATCGTCCTCCTTGTAAACATTGGAATTGGCCATAATCCTCAGGATTTGTGAAGATGATTCAATTGAGATAAGAATGAGCAATCAAATCATTATACTATTTTTGGATTTGGTTGTGAAGGAACATATCCATGCTTTAAGATAATCCCCAATCCAACCCGAGGAACCCTGTCGGCATCGGCTCCGCTGCTGACCAGTACAGGTGCACAAGGAAGTTGGTGACGCTAGCTGATTTCAAAGCAGGTCTCGATGAAGGCCCTGAGCAGAGCGCGTGTAGCTGGCAAGCCAGATCTCAATGGATGATCAGCAATGGGAAACCTACCCAGGACTGCATTGATATTGAACTAATGGGTTCTAATCATCCCCAAAAACGATGCCACCATGCTTGAAATGATAGGTCATCATGAGTTAGGTCTTTTTGAGTCCGTTGCCACCAATGGGAAAGAATCAAAGTTGGGCGCCAAATCAGTTTTCATCATGGTAAGCTCGGTTTTCCAGGATCATGTACTTCAGTGATTCATATGGATTGAGTTATCTATGTAAAGGATTGCATTATTGATGTATACCAATGGTTTACTGTTGAGGCCTTTAGATTCATTTACCATGCACAGCATGAAGCCCTATTGTGTGAAAAACTTGTAGCCAAATGACCTCCACAACCACCAACAATGGTTCTGCCATCCCTTCCCTGGAAAGTCTTACGGCAGCGACCGATGCGGTGCTTCCCCACACCAAGACAGTGAACCCAAGCTTCACGGCATAGCGGGTATCCTTCACGGCATGGGAAAGCACCGCATCGGTCGCTATGATTTGAGAATATTTGAGACCAATGGGTGCTTATTTGAAATTTTGGGTTTCATGTATTTTTCAATGAACATTGATTGTCAAGAAGAAATATTTATTCACAAGGGTAATCTTCAAACCCCAGTCCTGCCATGTACCACCTTTTCCTTCTATGACCTCCGGCCTCATGCTGTATCGACCACAAAAGGCTATCTTGGGATTGCTTGGTGAGGGTCCAAAAGGCCACGCATAAGTGGTAGAGCACTTTGATGGGCATCTTGCACATGCAGTTGCACCGGGGTTCCAAAATTGCTGATTTCACCCGTGAAGCTGAGATCCCCTTCTTGGCATATTCAGTCAGATCCTTTTTGGATACACTTCCCATAGCATGTAACGACTGAAGTCTTTGCAAGGTCAAGTCAATGACAGCTTCCCCAGAATTTGAATCACTGTCGCTGTCATCCATTGATGTGCACGGAGACGATTCAGAGCTACTCGACGCTGCCCTTAGCGCCCGCGACTACAGAGTAGAACATGATCATATTAAGATATATATATAAATATGTATGTATGTATGCATGCATGCACGTATGTATGTGTGCATGTACATGTGCATGTACATGTGCATGTACATGTGCATGTCTGTATGTATGTATGTATGTATGTATGTATGTTCTGTACACGCATTCATAGCCAACAGTTTACATCCAAGTAACCGCTCTTCTACATCGGAGCTAGCTGAACTTGAACTTGAAGCATCATATCTCACCAGTTGGATATCGTCATCAGCATCAGCGTCCCAGCGGCGCAATGCCATGTGGCACAATGGATGGACAACCAAGAAATGATTGAGTTGAATGGTTACTATTAAAGTTGTGTGCATTTGTGTGCGCATTTCTGTGTAACATGCATTTGTTTGTTTGAACATATCTGTGTGTACTTGTATGTGTACACGCACATGGGTATGTGAATGTATGTGCATGCTTATGTGGTTGCATCTGTATTTACTACTGAGCTAGGCACCAAACACAAAGAGACTTTACAATATATGCTACAGGCTAAACAAGGGAAAATAATAATGACAAATCGTTGCAGGTGTGTGCCCTCGCTTAGGTCTGTCTGCATGTAACTGCACTACATACACACATAACAAAACATACGGACATATGTATGTACATATACACACACATACATACATACATACATACATAAAAACACACATACATGCACACATGAAAAAAAACATTACCATAAAATTGTACCATACCATGACATGACATGAGACAACAAAACATAAGAAACACACATGCATAAACACACATACATACATTAAAGCATATGCGCACCTACAGTGTCGAATAATAACCCTTGTGGGGTGTTTTTCAATGACAAAGTCGCCCCCATGCATACATACATACATACATACAAACAAACAAATAATACATACATACATACATACATACAAACAATCAATCAACCAATCAAACAAGCAAACAAACAAACCAACAAACTTACACACATACATACAGACATACAAACAAACAAACAAACATACATACATACACGCATGCATGCATGCATACATATACATACATATACATACATATACATACATCCAAACATACATACACGAATACTGAACAAAACAGAACAAAACAAAACACATTCTTAGATGTAAATACCCACACATACATGCAAACACCTATACATACATGCATACTTACAAACATACACACATACTTACAAATATAAAAACAAACATATGCACACCTACAGGGTCCAAAAAATACCCCTCTAGAGGTAATTTACATACCCATACAAACATTTACATACATACATATACATACATATACATACATATACATACATATACATACATATACATACATATACATACATATACATACATACATACATATACATACATATACATACATATACATACATATACATACATATACATACATATACATACATATACATACATATACATGCATATACATACATATACATACATACATACAGACATATACATACATATACATACATATACATACATATACATACATATACATACATATACATACATATACATACATATACATACATATACATACATATACATACATATACATATACATATACATACATACACATACATACACATACATATACATACATATACATACATATACATACATATACATACATATACATACATACATACATACATATACATACATGCATACATACATACATTCATAGACACATACAGATTTTTTCCAAGAGAGAACTCAACGCAGCAAACTGAAAAACAACACACAACATGACATGACATGACATGACACAACAAAACGAAAATGATATCTTGACATGTACATATACATACATACATAGAAACAAAATGAAACAAATATGTGCTACACATTCATCTATGTATGTACATTTATGTATGTATCTTATGTGTGTTTCTAGTGTAGGTATGCATGCAGGTAGGAATGTATGCATGCAATGTAATGTACGTGTAAATGATGTAGGTCTGTTGAATAGAACTTTACACCATGTATATGTTTATAATTACATATCTAGCCATGTCAACCATCCTGGAATAGTGCAAAAGTACTTGAAAAATATAATGTTGGTTGTTCCAGCTCAACATTCTTAACCAGGGTGAATGTATGACTGAATTTGATGATGGCTGCAAAAACATGTTGTTTTCAGAACCAGCAGCTGATGACAGCAGGGTAAACATAGATTTCAGACCATGCCGTAGTTCCACATAGTGGCTAAGAAGTAAGGTGTCCACAGTGATAGTCATGGCGCTATATGTTTGATATCTTTTGTCCAAAGCCAGTCATGCGTACCCTCTCACTAATTTCATGCTTCAATTACGTCATCCTTTTGAAACAGGCGCTACTTTGACCAATCCTATGCATAGGAAAGTGGTGTAATCACAGAACCAATTTGAACCAACCACTCCATTTGGATGACAATCTCTCAGGGAGACATGCTGCCAGGGCTGCACAAATACATGGAAGGACCGCCCGAAGGCTCATAGCGTTGCCACCAAGGCTGTGCAAAGTCTTAGTGGCAGCAAGGATAATGGAACCCCTTTGATGATTAGGTGGTTGACATGATAAGCCAAGTGATGGTTCCCTTTGGCCACAAAACAGTAATAAACAAGGAACCCTTTGTGAACAGGACGAGGTCTTAAGCAAATGCACTGGCATGCCCATCAAAGTCATTATCTCTTGGCCAATCAAATAGCGGCCTGGAGATGTGGCCAAAAACTTTCCGGATGGCCTTAGGTAAAAATCAAAAACAACCCAACGTCAAAACTGGATTTCACACATTCATGTTGCCATTCGTTCAAATCCAAACTTGAAAACTGAAACTGAACATGCTGACCAGTTGACGTCAAACAAGGCAATGGGTCCGAGTCATTTTGAATGACTTGCATCAGGTCCACCGACTGTGATGTATTGATCACAGCCAACGATGGGTGAAGAGCTGCCAATATGTTCAACGCCTGTGCGTTTTGAAAGTTTACATGTGGGTAACAGAAATCTCAACAATGGCATGTATCTCAATGATTGACTTCCAACTTTGGGGTCAGTAGTGCTAACTAGTTGTACATCTATATATACTATAGTCATGGCGGAGGTAGGAGTCTTTGAGATACTGACCCTATTATATTGTCTCATGATCAAAATGTCAAGGCGCCTCTGCTTCTCTGAAACTTGTCAATTGCGAGGCTGCTGCTTTGTATTTTTTTCAAAACACCTTTCTTTGTTTGCTTTTGCCACATCGACCTGCAAAACAGAAAACGATCAATGACAACATTGGTTGATTTTGGAGGTGCAGGCGCATGATCAAAAAAATACATTCAAGGTAATTGATTTGGCCTTCTTTTTGCGGGCCCACTTCCGGTGTCTTTTGATCCACTTTGCCCCTTTGTTAATCTTTGATGACCTCAAAGATCACTACAAGATTTGGTTGTAGTAAAATGACATACTCTGAAAACCCAATCGATCATACCAACCCTGGTTTAAATTACCCAGATACTTCATGGCACGTCGTCGGCGCTGTCGCATCTGCATGTCACGCAGCACAGCCGGATGATCGGAAGGCAATAGCAAATCCGTCCTGAGCAGAGGAAAATTGCTGTGAGAAAGAACCAGGATTTTCTAGTAAGCAACTTGCCAATCAAATTCATGAAGGTGATCACACACATCATTTAGGAGAGTTACCACCCAACACTGGCATCAACCTTCATGTCATCTAACTTGTTGGTGATGAAGTCGGCAAAGTCTACTTGTTTCACGCTGGGAGCCATGATATCATCCCGAACCATTATGAGATAGATGCGCTGCCGGGAAATCGGGGATCCATATCGCCTCCTCGGATTGGTGAGAAGGAATTAAACATCTCTAAGGGCTGAATGCAATAACATTCTGAGTGAAATCAATATAGATGAGGAACGGATTCAACTTTACGTAGAGCATCTGGTACCTAAGTGAAACACCATGTCCATGAGCG